GGTTTGGCGAATAATCTAGTCTTCAAGTTCATTTCTTTACAATTTCGTCTTTTTTCGTTTGATTTTGGCATTCTACGACATTGGTATAGTTTTAATTAATTTTTTTTGTAACTTATGGTATATTTTTGCTCATTTTGCAACTGTTTTGTACGACTTACAGTATGGTTGAAAACTTTTTTTTTTGGAAACGGCCGAAAATTCATGCGCGCGCGGATGTCATCCATATAATCAAATCAACATGGCCTAATCTAAGACTAATTCCAAACCCTTGATGTTCCCATGATCCTACAGGAGGAGATAGCCAAGGCCTGGAAGGTGAACAGACAGGAACCTATAGTCATCAGGCTTCATCTGTCCTTCAGTCAGTACCTGGACGCCAACGGTCAGTCAGCCTTCTTCTAGACTTGTTTGTTTGTTTGTTTGTTTTGCATAACCAGTAAACCGCCTTTAGGCGTAACACACCAGCTTTGTACAATGTAAGTATACAGCTACAAGATGCATAAGACCGGACTGTAAGGTTTGAACCACTCACACAAGGTCCCCTACTCTTTTCGTGAACAAAAAATTGTAACATGTTGGAAGTTGGTATTCAAAAGTACATGTGTAGGGCACACAAGACAGGGTCTAATTCTTTTTGGAAAATTTATAAGCCCGTCTGATAATTTTTAGAACCCTGTTTGATATGCCTTGTTATCACACGGGCTGGAACATCTGTGTATCAAACATTATCACGGCCCAAATATTACAATTACAAAAAAAACATTTAAAGCGATGTCATGGATGCCTTACTGTATGCCTTGTGACATAACATTTCTAGACTGACCTTACTTATTTTGCATGTCCAGAGCCTCCCAAGGTTGAGGTTTTCCAGCCTTCTAACAAAGAGACTTTTGGACTCGGAATGCAGATACAAAAGTGAGTTCCAAACTCTATACAGACTGTATACTAATGTCTAAGACTTGGTATAATATTGTAAACCAGTCTTTCAAACTTTCTTGCAAAAGAAGACATACAGAAAGAAGACATACACAATGTACAAATGAATACGGAATATGTCTTGAGTAACCAAAATGGCATTATGTACAAACATGATTTAGGACTGACTTTTTTATAGTAAATAACATTGATGAATAGTTTCATCTGGTTGGTAAGCAGGGTTCTCACCAGGATTTTTTCTCAACGTAGGGGTCAGGTACAGAAGGGCAACTTTCTGCGGCGCAAACTGCGCAAAAACATGGCTACGTCTGGTATTCTCCCCCCCAAAAATAATAACCCTCTGAGACACTATTTCCTGCTTATTTAGGGACAGATTTTGTGATGTTCATCTTGTTCAATCTTCAATACAATTGTTATAACATTATATAAGACATATTTTGTTATGATTTTGCTTAGTTGGAAGTATTGTACTGTGGACTATCCCTACTGCAGGATTATGGAGACGTTCCTGTCTAAAGAGTGGAAGGACCTGAGTAATGACCGGGTGACGGCCATCTGTGTTCCTCTCAGGCCCATCTCTGCTCGCTCCTCACATTCACACAAGGGGGCGTCATCACACGGGTATGTACATGTACATGTACTGTCCACAGCATGTCACAACACCCAGGAAACAAGGTGACAGGTTACACGGTGCAAAAAAAAAAAACAACTGATCAACGCGTGGTACATTTTGTAGGACAGATTTTGTTGACCATGTAATGGCACCACACAGCGATTTTTGTGTGGCACGTCCAAGATGTACCACAAAAAAATTGCGGCTCCCAGTTTTGGGGCGCGTGTGTGTACACCTGTCAAAAATTCTCTGCTACAACATGTGCTGCGCATTGATTGCTGTAAGTTACATTTTTTTTGCTCCGTGTAAACTGGCCCAAAGTCTGCTATCTTCCTACTAGGGCTCTAGCCAGCACCCATTTTTCCATCAATAATTGTTTTTAAGGAACTTTGTGGCCTGTGACGAAAAAAATTGTAAACCAATCCATCAACCTTACTGCCGGACAAAATTGACAAAAACCTTGGGTAAAAATTATACATCCAAAGGACATTCAACCAACAACCACTCTCAAAATGTAAGTACAAAATGTATGTTCAACTTGGCAATGCATTTCTAAAGACTTGAAAATTCAAAATTTGCCCCCAGATCCCCCTAGATTGCAAGCACTCTCCCCCCATGTCCGATCATGAACTTGGACTGATGGGAAAAAAATTTCAAGCTGGCTAGATCCCTGCCTTCTACATTTGCATAAAGTATCATAAAGTATCTTGATGATTTTCACAGACAATTCAAACTATAATATACTGGATGAATTTTGGAGATTACTTCTGGACATTTCGGGTGACATCTATCACTCTTCACTCAACTATTGAGTTGTAACATTTACATGTACCCGGATGTCTCTAAGTACTAACCCTCTCCAACATAATCATTAACATTGTTTTTCGTTGTGGAACATAATATTTCAGTGTGAACCATTAATTTTCATTCCAACTCACGGGATTTTTGTCACTCACAGGAAAAAACTGAAACAGCTGCACGAAATGTCAAAGAGCTTCCAATCCCTAGTCTCCTCGTGGAAAGTCAGACCAGTCAAGAAGTAACCTAAGTCCATTTCAGTTGCATTAGTGGGGCAGATAACTGAAATAATCTTTCAAATTGTGATACAAGCACCAAACTTGGTACAAATACTCATGAGACATTACTCAAGGAGAGGACTTTTTGGTCGGCTGCAGTACCAAAGAGCGCCCTTGGAGCAAATTGTCCACCGGCAAAAAACGCCCCTGCAGTTCCAACGCAAGCTGCTAGGGACACCAAATTTACGTCACTTCTTCCCTACCCCAACAGCTTTTTACCACATAAAAATCATGACTGTAGCATGTTAACCCTTGTCCTGCTGGCAATTTTTACAAAATATTTTCAAATATTTTCATGTCTTAGTCAGGTCACAGTCCCTTGACTTTTTTTGCCCCGCGGTGGCGTAGTTACTTCCGCATTCATTGCGTTTCGCTGCGGTGTGATGCGTTACACGAGAAACACCCCCAAATCATACATATACAGGGTACTATATAGATGGTACTGTATGTGCAACCCATATATATATGGGCCCCGCAGGACAAGGGTTAAGAACAGGAGAAACAAAGCCTGGAAGGTCGGCTGCAGTACCAAAAAGCGCCGCTAGAGGGCACCAAAAGTCAAATCAAGTGGCCCGCGTACTTTTTCAAAAGAGTAATGTCTCATGAGTATTTGTACCAAGTTTGGTGCTTGTATCACAATTTGAAAGATTCCTCCAAAATTTGATGCTATCTGCTCCACTACATTGAAGATCACCAATCACAGCGCTGTGTGTGTGTTACTGTGCGATGCAATTCACATCCATTTTTTAATCTCACTGTTGCGGCTAATTTACATCATGCACGTCTACTTGTCTGCGATTTCCAACAATGTATTAGCAAACAATAGTATTAGCTCTACGAAACATTTTTTCATCAGCATGAAAGTTCATCTGATTTGGTAAATTACATTATGAAAAACTTAAACTTTTCTCCAACTCAAAATTTGACTCACCAGAAATTTTCGACTGAATCACTCAGTCTTCCTCAGCTATCTGACCCAAATGCTGTGGACACGTGATTTTTCTCACGTGTGACGTCAGCAAAGGGTCAAAGGTTGTCTGAAGTTGATATCGCCCCCCGTCCCGGTTGAGTCGAAAATTTCTGGTGAGTCAAATTTTGAGTTGGAGAAAAGTTTAAGTTTTTCATAATGAAGCATTTTTTCATTGAATATTGGGATTTTCTTTTACACAACCAGTACTTCTCTTACCAAGTTGCTTACTTTTCGATGTCTGTAAGACATCTTCCTCAGAGCTTCTGACTGGAGTACTGCTTCTTGCCACTATATGTAGCCAATGTACATGACATTATAGAATACAACACGGGGTATTCCGTATCGCCCGAGGTTTCGGCCTCGGGCGATCCGACTCGCGGGAGGGCCGAGACTGAGGGCGATGCGGAATACACCGTGTTGTATTTTATTTATGTCATACCCACCCTAGAAAACACCCCTTTCAATGCAAGATGAGCCAAAAGTTGGTGCCACTGAACCCTAAACTGCAACAACGTCAATTCCAACGTCCGGATTCTGTATTCGAATTTTCGAAAGGGGCACACGCGGTTAGGGCGAAACGCGTTCGTATCGTTTTATGGAAGCCTTGGAAGCGTTCGATAACGGGTTCCAGACCGGGCCGTACCGTAAAGTACAGCCCGGTCCGGAACCCGTTATCGAACGTTACCGCGGCTCGGGTATGATATAAATGTATATAGATGGCGCTTTTGCGGCAAGAACACAATTCCAAACTTGACTTGAGTTTGTTACTTTGTACCCCCCTTCTTATAATGCCAAAATCACAGAAAATCCCAATATTGACCTAAAGTATGTTCTACCAACCCGATGAAACTATTTTTGGAATGTTTAAAAATTAAATTTACTAGTTTTTAACACTTTGACAATCATTAAATTTTGTCTTACATCCATAGCATGGTGCCTTGGTCAAAGATCTAAAAGTCATTTTGCCATTTCTGATCAACAGATTAGGTACAATTATACGCAGTGTTTACTTGAACACAAGATAACTATTTTTCTACACCAGCCATATTACCAAAGCGCCATGATCGGTGGTCTTTAATGAGTTATCAGGGAGGCTAAGGTATACCTAAGGTTGCTGCTGTCTGCTACACTAGTCTTCATCAACAGGCTTTTACCACATATTCACACATTCTATACTTTGCTTGTCCAATACTAGAGAAACAGATGCTTGTTAACCCATTTACATTCATACTAGTACGATTTCAGGGTGGCAAAACTGTATTTTTAAGGTGAATTTTTTGTAGTAAGTTGAATCAATCCTATCCCATATAGCATTCTAATATCTCGGAGGCAAAAATTCAATGTTACGTCACTGACGAAAAATTTGAATGGTACATGTAGGCTAACATAGCAAGGTTCTACATGTAGCTATTCATGGACTGTCACAGTACCCCCCAACAAACAGACACCGCTTGTTTAGGGCTATTTGAAAAGCTCCAAGTATGAAATGATGACAAAAATGTGCTATGAAATGTCAGTAAATGTCAATATCAGACAGATTTCCTCATCCAGAATATTTTTTGTTTTGCTGCCCTGAAATTGCATTGGATGCCTTTAACAAATTGGTTTCAATCTTGAACCCAAATTTCTTCTTTTTTTCACGTTTCAGCTTAAATTACTAGTATGTAATTTCATCTGTGTTGGCATGTTTAAAGTTAAAACTTTTGTTCCAACACAAAAGGTAAAATGTTCTCACCTAGAGCTTTCGACTCTGGTCTTCCTCAGTAGACTTGTATACTTATAGAAGACCAGATTAGAGTGACTGGTCGAAAGCTTTCTAGGTGAAAACATTTCCCTTTCGTGTTGGAACAAATGTTTTAACTTTAAACTTGCAGCTTACATGTTTTGGGACAAATGAGCCAACTGAATGTCATTGAACTGAGTAAAGAGACTCTTTTTACACAACCAAGACTTACAAATGTAGTCTTTTATTCAGCCGACATTTTGGAGACCGTCTGTCACCTTCCTCAGGGCAATTCTGACTGGTTCACATTGCATTGCAGCACAGGTGTCGCTGCTACATATGCATTCCCAAATGTATACGTACATTGTCAATATTTACATTATCTACACATACTGTATACGTGATTGGATTACAGGGAAATGTATCTACAATGCGTTCCCAAACGTGCAGAAGTTGTGAACCAGTCAGAATTGCCCTGAAGAAGGTGACAGACGGTCACCGAAACGTCGGCTGAATTGGTTGTGTAAAAAGAGTCTCTTTACCCAGTTCTTTAATATACTTCAATGACATTCAGTCGACTAATTTGGCCAAAAACATGTAAGCTGCAAGTTTAAAGTTAGAACTTTTGTTCTCAACACAAAAGGGAAATGTTTTACCAACCTGATGAAACTATTCACGGATGTATTAAAGACCTGCGTGTGTTTGCTGTAGAATCCATGACAGACACGTGGCCCAGCTGGTTGACATGGGCTTCACGGTGGAGATGGCTCGTAACGCGCTCTTCATGACACGCAACAACCTAGAAGAGGCGATCAACCTGCTCCTTACACAACCTGAGAGGTGAGGACAGAAGCTCCGTTTCTTTTCATCTCATTTCAATTATAGTCTAGTATCTGGAAGATGGTAATTGGCTACAAATAACCCGAATGGAAGCTTGGCGAACCAACGTTAACCATACTATAATTTGTGCAACACAGCTGCAAAATGAGCAAATAAACATGTATGCTGCAGCTGTAAATTGCCAAAAAATATTTCGGAAAATGATACAACAGTTATTACTGCAATCCATCATAATTGTAATTTGACAGTCGTAGAATGCCAAAATTATTTCCAAAGAAGAAGAAGAAAATGACTAAAGTCTTGTGTACAAAATTAATGAAAATAAAGAGTATACAAAGTCATGTATTTTTTTTAATATCCCAACATGTAATCACAAGACGTGGTGGTGACGGCACACTCAAGTTTTTTCAACTTATATTAATGCTGTCACCAGGACACCGGACAATTAAAAATTAACTCATTTTCACCTGGGCGAAGTAGGGAAAGTCGTGTAAAGTGCCTTTCCAAAGGGCACAAGATCGGTGGCATGTCAGGACTCGAACCCAGGACCTCTTGGTTCCGTCGAGCACTCTGCTGCTACGCCACACGACACCATGGCCATACCATAGTGTTTAGTCAATTTGTTGAATTGACCCTGAAGTCCGCCGTTGCTCGTTCTCGATAGCTGCAGGCCAGCTGGAGGGGGAGGGGCGGGGAGCAGCTCGTTCCGCGGCACGTGGACCTCGGCGCTGTTCCTGGCGCCATCCGTGGCCCAGCAGCACCAGGTGGTCCTGCCGGCGCGACCGTCTCAGCCGCTCAAACCCGCCACCATCGGGGACGAGCTGCACCTGGTACCATGTTCAACCGAGGTGGGCTGCTTTTTTTTCGCATTCTCAGTGCAGGGCTCGAAATTAATTTTTTGGAATAGGTGCACTGGTGCACCCAACCTAAAAAATTAGGTGCACCATATAAGATAAAATGATCAGAATGTCAGCAAAATCTTAATGTTTCATTTGTAACTAAGCAAAAGTAGGAGTACAAGATTTTTCTGACATCTTGACATACTTAAACCTACACAAAGTTTTGGGTGCACTGCTTCAAAATGAAAACACCATTATTGCATTTAACAGTATAGTGCTGAATTGCATCAGATCTGTAAAATTTATAAATTCTGATTATCATACAGTGACTGTACACTCTGACCCCACTTAGCATATTGGTTGTATCTAGCTAGGTGGTTACAATACATTGTACTCAATCAATGCCTACTTTTTTTAGGCTATATCTTTACCGTTTACACAGGCTACATGTATTAGTCACTATGTACATATTTTATTTCTGTGTCCCTTGGATGTCACACTTGTAGTTTACATGTATTTCAGTTGGCTGTCTAACAATTTTAATAGTCAGTAGCTAGATTAATTATTAAGATCATTTACATTACACAAGTCATGTATTATGTGTCATCATCATTACAGAGAGGTAGGACTGCCAAAACCATTCCAGGATTGGAGTACGGATTCCTGGCACAGGTGAGATACAGTAGGCTACCTTTCTACTAATCCTTAACCTAAGACACCAGTTTCTGTTTTGTTAGGAGGTTGGAAGCTCTCATCTTGACATGAGATATCTATGATTGATCAATGGGCTTGTATCACACTTCAAACATGACTCGGCACATGTACAAATAATGTATGTGTGATTGACTTGCTTCAAAGTGCTGAGAAATATTATATTATAATTACATTGTAGCTCGTTGGAAGAACGCACTGTGCCTGTGCAAATCTTGATTGTACATGCATTCTGCATAGCACTCCACAGGACATTCATTTGGTTAAAAAGATATCATCTACAACAGACAAAATTCTGATGCAGTACTAGTGATGACCAAACATCCGACAAAAATGGTAAAAATTCTGGGTTTCTTGCAGGCGCAGTGCATTCTGCTGACATGCTTAATAATAAACAGTTATGTACAAAGCATGTCATATTTTGCAAGCTTCTTGAACATTGCTAATAAATATGTACACGTGTATATCGATACAGTTGGGCTGCCCATGTCTGATAAAATGTTGATGCCTTGTTGCAGTGCCTAATATATGCACGGAACCGCATCCCAACCCTGAATGAATACTGTGTGGTGTGTGATGAGCCACATATATTCCAGAACGGTGCTATGTTGAAAGTAAGGCTTATTATCATCAATATTTAATACCATTAGATCATAATATCAACTAAGTCATTGTTTCTTTTATGACTATGGTTGTTGTCACAGAAATATGTTTTGTTTTGTTTTGTTTGTTTTTCTTTTAATGCACACAAATAATGATATTAATGATTATTCTGGCACACAAATTTTGTACTTATTAACACCTGAGCAAAGCCACCAGGAGGCCCAAAATCGACCTTGACCTTTGCCTACCCAACACCTACCCACATACCAAATATCATGATTACAATCCATCCAAAGGTTCAAAAGTTATGCTTGTCGCAAATGTCCAGAAACACAGACACACAGACAGACAAACATGCCAAAAACAATACCTCCATTTTTCATGGAGGTAAAGACCACCAAGGCTTAGAAAGCCACTTTTGCCTTGGTCCCCTGGGTGGTGGTTTTAGTGTATCTCAGACTACAGTTACAAGTTCTTTACCTGACAGTGTATAGTCATGTGTAATACAATGTACAAAATGTAGAAGTACAAAATGTTGCTAATACACAAACAGATGACTGTAGTGTTGTTGTCTTTGTTGTTGTTGTTGTTGTTGTGACATGTATTGCTTCTGCCCCAGCCTGTAGTGTGCGAGCGGGAAGTGTGTGTTTTTGCCTTCCAACAACTCGGTGTAATGAGAGGAGCGGCCGATGACATCGCTACTGGAGCCGAGGTCAGTCAGTCACACACACGTTACTTTGCTATTTCTAGTCTCACTGGGCTGTTTGAGGGCCCCCTACACTGTGATTTGGACACCCCATACTGTTTTGTTTTGTTTTTTCTAGAAAAATTTACATGTAGCATGAGGGAGCAGATCACAAGCATGGCGCGGGACCAAAGCAACCGAGTGGGGATTTTTTTATGAGAGTAACACAGTTTTGTAAATGCTAGAATGCATTGTTGTATTATAATTGTTTTTACATGTACATCTTTACTGGAAAAAGTCCACTTAGGCCACACCAATTTAATTTCTTGGTTAACGGATTCGCCCGCTTCATTTTTTTCTGATTTGCAAATAAAAATAAAAATTCAGAATCAACTGCAAAATGCTCATATTTTGCCCTGAACAGTTGAAAACAGTCCTTTTCATCCTAGTTGTTACAGTTATTCCACCTTTCAATGCAATGGTATCATTAAAAGTTCAAAATGCATTGTTAAAAATTTTGAACCAGCCTGGTGTGTTGACTTTATGGCTCCTATCGTAACATTTTGGGCCATAATAGGATGCCTAGGCCTGTTTTGTTTTTTTTTCTCGCCCGCCCGCTCCATAGTTTTTCTAGAAAACTCCGTTAACCAAGAAATTAAATTGGTGTGGCCTTAGGGTTCAGTCTGAAAATTGATTTGAGGAAGCTGGCTGGTTACATGAGGGAGCAGCGTCCTTACTCCCCTGTTTAGGAAAAACCTTGGCATACTTTGTTTGCTCTGTCTTTCGACCAGCATAGGGGCGTTTCTTTTGGGGGAGAGCATGACCCTTCATAACTGATTATAATTAACTGGCTAGGAAATTTCTGTCAAAAGATTCGGGTAGACCACTGTGACAATGTGACAAAGGTTGTGGTACATAATTGTACATTTGTATATTGCAGTTTATATCATACCCGGGCTGCGATAACGTTCGATAACGGGTTCCGGACCGGGCCGTACTTTACGGTACGGCCTGGTCCGCAACCCGTTATTGAACGCTTCCATGGCTGTCATAAAACGATTCGAACGTGTTTCGCCCTACCCGTGTGTGCCCCTTTCTGTATTCAATACAGAATCCGGACGTTGGAATTGATGTTGTTGCATTTTAGGGCTTAGTGGCAACAACTTTTGGCTCATCTTGCATTGAAAGGCGTGTTTTCTTGGGTGGGTATGACATAAATAAAATACAACACGGTGTATTCTGCATCCGGCCTCGGTCCCGGCCCTCCCGCGAGTCGGATCGCCCGATCCGACCCGCGATCGGGCCGATACCTCGGGCGATACGGAATACCCCGTGTTGTATTCTATATGAATATAGGAAAATGAGAGTAGTTTTGAAGAATATAACTCAGGTGTAATTTGTCCCTGGCCCAGGTTGTGGATTTGCTGCTGGCTATGGTAAAGGCCAGCTCCCACTCCCCCAGGAAAGACCTGATCCTCGACCCCTTCCCCTCAGTGGTAGATCCCGATAACGCCAAGGAGATGGTGCTCAGTCCAAAGGTAAGGCCATGTTGATTTGATTATAATTTATGGATGACATCGGCGCGCGCATGAATTTTCGGCTGTTTCCAAAAAGTTAAGTTTTCAACCATACTGTAAATCGTACAAAACTGTTTCAAAATTGAGCAAATATGTACCGTAAGACATTATACTGTAATTCACTTTATGTTCACGGTAGCAAAATTTCACGGTCTGAGAAAAATGGACATGTTCACGGAACTATGTATTCACGGTGGCAACAGGTGCCGGAATTACTCTACTCTAATTATGATTAAGTTCACTGTACAGTAGTGACAGTGAAAACAGTGAACATAAAAGTACCGTGAAAAAATCAGTAATTACAGTATTAGAAAATGATACTTTTGTACCAATGTCGTAAAATACCAAAATCAAACGAAAAAAACGAAAAATGTAAAGAAATGAAATTGGAGACTACATCGTAGATTATTCACCACTCTGTCATTTGTACAACCTTCATAACCACGTATATTTCAAAATGAAAGCAGCTTTGTTTTATTCGCACGCTCGAGAAATGCATGAGAGAAATGTATCATAATTAGCTTGCAGTTTATCGTTTCACAAGTAAATTTTCTCTGCCACAGAAAAAGAACTATGACCGAGTGAATGCGATCCTGGACAGCCTGATGAGTGTGAGAGAGATGACCCAGGCCTCGGTGGACATGAAGAAACAACTGGACAAGAAGGACAAATATGCCTGGCCATTCCTCAGCTGGTAAATACATCATTCCTCTCTCTCTCTCTCTCTCTCTCTCTCTCTCTCTCTCTCTCTCTCTCTCTCTCTCTCTCTCTCTCTCTCTCTCTCTCTCTCTCTCTCTCTCCTCTCTCTCTCCTCCTCTCTCTCTCTCTCTCTCCCTCTCTCTCCCTCTCTCTCAGTCAGTCATTCCAATGCTACTGTAAATCACGAATTTTCGCTGTTTTCACGGTCACTTCTGTACTGCAAAGTTATCATTACAGTGAACAAATAATTTGCCGATTTTCCTAATGTACTTGGTATGTATGTAACTTTTTATATGGATTGTGTCCCTCACAGGGTGATTTCCAGCAACAGATCCCATATTGTCAAGCTGCCTGAAAGCAGGGTAGGAACTGTTAATTGTATATTCAATTTGTCACTTCTACAGTGTAATATGTACAGTGTCACATGTACATAACCTTGAGAAAAAGTGTGCTTAAAGATATTTTTACTGCAACATACCCTAGGTATGTACATTTTGATATGTGCAGGAGTGCATACCAACAATATGTTGCAGTAAAAATATCTTAAAGCACACTGTTTCTCAAGGTGGCGATATTATATATGGACCCTGGTGATATTATGGACACAGATGTTACATGTAGATTGCCTTTTAATCATAAAGATTTTTGACAAAATTTATTTTGATGCCAACATGTAATTATAAGTTCACAATGTTTAATTTCTCCTGAATGAACGGTAATTAACTTTAGTTATTAAAGTGTATAGTAAATAACTGTTGTGTTGTACATTGTGATCTCTATCATCCATGCACTAATGCTAAATTTATACACCCCCTCCCCAGAGAATTAAGTTCATGCACACCCCTCACCAGTTCCTGTTACTGAGCAGCCCCCCTGCTAAAGAACAGGCCTTCCGAGAAGCCAAGAGACAACACGGCAGTCTGTTCGCATTCCAGTGAGTCTTTCTTTGTTCCACGCTCACTGACTTTTATTTTACCTGCAGATATTTACATCTTAAAGACATCCAGTGCAGTTTTTAGGGCTTGGAAACCCAAATTTTCAAAGTCAAATTTCTAATCACTTATCTACATACTGAGTTGAAACCAGACTATCCAATGTATGTTGACCCTCATGGATCAAAAATACCCAAAATTCTGATGGAAAATGGTTACTGAAAGGCCCTGGGCTGATTTTTAGGGTACCACCCAGAAAATAAAACACTCATCTTTGGGGCTTGTTTCTGCAGTTTTAAATACCCAAAGTATGTCAATTAAATACTGATTGAAATGTGTGTATGACTATTGTGAAGCAGTATGACACTGTGTCAATATCATAAAGATTGTCTTACTCACAATATTTCTAGTTTTGCTGTTTTGAAATTGCATACTATTAGGCATTGCCTTTAACATGTTTCGTATTTAAGTTTCTTCACGCGTTTTTGTAAAAGTGCCCCTGGAAGAGTGAGTATATCAGCAAAATTTTGCAATTTTTCAAAAAAAAATTGATTGCAAATTGTGCAAGTTAGTGAATCTGAAAATACCCATTTGTAATATGTATATTTACTGTAAATCACTTTTTATTTGCGGTAGCAAAATTTTGCGGTCTGAGGAAAGGGGACGTGTTCACAGAACTAAAATCATGTTTGCAGTGGCGGCAGGTGCAGCAGAAAGAAATTTAGCAAATTGACCACAAAAACCTGAAAACCTGCCACAAATAGAAGGTGATGTACAGTTACATGTAGTACATGTAATATGTGTACATTGTTTGTCTTTGAGGTTTCTCTAATATGCACACAATGTGAAGTTTTTGCTGTGATCTATCTTGCAGTGGTTCCCATATAGAAAACTGGCATTCCATCCTGAGACATGGCCTCATCAACGCTTCAGGTACCAAGCACCAGGTGAGGATGTGACTGGGTTATGATACTTCTTCTGATTTTTTAATACTATTATTAATAAATAAATAGATAGATCTCATCTGAAAATTGGGTTATAGGGTTTCAGTCAGGGCTCAAAATTAAAGGTGGTCCAATGGCCACTGTCCACTAAAATTTAGGCTGGGACAACTAAAAACTGTTGGACATTTTTGGGACGATCAAAATAATTTTTTTACATCAGAATGTCAGCCCTTCTTTTGTTTATCAGGCACACGTCCTGGCTTTTGGAAAAGTCCCCCCGAATTCCCTGTCTACACTGCAATTACATAATGCACAAGGGAGTAAACATTAAGTAAAATAAAGTTGACTTCAAGTTAAAGTCATACAATACTTCCCCCAAAAAATGATTGGGACATTTCATCCTCTGCTTCGGGACAATTGAAAATTTTATTTTTGGGACAGTGCAGGGACAATGGGAAGAAAAATTTATTTTGAAGGCCTGTCAATGTTACCTGCATCAGTGCAGGAATGCAGAAAAAAAGATTTCCAGTATACAAACCAGTTCTCTTATTACCTCCGGGGGAGGAGACATCCTTCCGCGGAAGGGTTTTGTGAGAGATTTCAATTTTCATGTTCGCAGCTGTTTCTCACGTTTGGGTGGACGGATTCTTTTGAGACTCGGTATATGTTTTGCTATTGGGCTGCAGATGATGCACGTTCTTTTGTTTTTATTATATAATATATATTATGTGTTTGCGGGCGTGAAAATGGTGCCTTTTGGTGGCCCCAAAACACCCCTTTGAGCGTGAAAGTGGTCGCGACCGTTGACCTTTGGCGTGTTTAAGCTATTCTCGGTCTGGACCACGTATATGACCCCTCGCACAGAGGGGTGTCCGGTCTCGATGAATTCTTTGTTTAAAACCCTATATAAAAAATACACAATGAAAAGCCCGGAGGTATAAAATCTCAGATTTTACTTGTCTCTATGATGTTTGTCGTGTCTCTATAGCTCCATGGTGCTGCATACGGCAGTGGGATCTATCTCAGTCCCAACTCCAGTGTGTCCTTCGGTTACTCCTGCATGGGCCACGGGAGTCACAAGGCTGCCAGGAACAAGGCTCTGCTGGTGGTGAGTTATCTCTGAGTTATCTCTGAATTATCTCTGAGTTACTGTATCTCTGACAAGGCATAGTTAACTCGAGAAAGCAAACTTTTTATGATCCATGAGGCCATGCCAATGCGATTTGTTGTAAAACGTTGAACTTTATTCCAACACGCAATTTACAGAGAAATCAAATTTTCAGCGACCACTGTCGCCTTCATCAGGATAATTAATGACCAATCACTTCACAACGTGATCTCACAAGAGTTACGGTTTCTTGTTGATTTGATTTGTTGGTTCACAGATTTTCCCCCTTCATTTAAGCCTCTGAAGCAACTCCAAAAATGCTCAAATTTTGGCCCCCAACAGTTGAAGGAAGTCCTTTCTCTTCAGAGTTGTTACCATTTTTCCATCTATCAAATTATTGTTTGATAAAAATTAAAGTCCAAAATCCCAAACCAGACTGGTATATTGACGTCATGGCTCCTATCATAGCATGCATTTGGGGCTATCATAGGATGCCTACATGTAGGTCTGTTTTTATTTTTTGCCCTGGCCTGTTTCTTCATGTTATCTCTGAAAAAAGTCCAAGAACCAACAAATCAATTTGATGTGTCCTAAGTACATGTAAGTGTTATTCGGAAAGCAACTATATGGAACTGTCTTGAAAGTTCATATGTATTGGTAGAAGTCATTATGAAGCAAGATTGAATTTCCAACACATGAAATTATACTTGTTTCATAATCCTATAGATACGTAATTACTTGAAATATAATAATCTACTGGGTTTATTGGGTCAATTAAAACAGGTTGTCAATATCATTCTCATAATGTAGATATGTATGATGTGGGAATATTATATAAGATTAACAACATGAGTCACCAATTTTATTGAAATTTACAGTCAGTCTATCTAATGCTAGGTCATTGTTTTGATTGTCATCAAATGCATCAAGAGGTTTGGAATCACTGGTAAACAGGTCCTTTGGATTGCTGCATTTTTCCCCACATCAGAAGACTGCATTATATCCTGTGTACAATTCTTAGTAGTTAGTCATTTACCTGGTATTCAAACTGAATTGTGGCTTGTTGTGCTGATAAAAATGTACATGACTTGTATGATCAAAAAAGACTCTTTTTAGGTCAATATCCAGATTCCAGGAACTTCCCCCCTCTTACCCCCCATAATTTGTCTTTTGTTGGACCAAAAGTTGGGAGTGTTTCATTTTGTGTCCTCATCTGGTGATGTGTTACACAAAGTCAGCCTCATTATTTCAGTCTCTTCCTACCTTTTCCTTGCAATTTTGCAAAACTTCACAAATTAAGAAGTTGCTTTTTGAGTGATTTGTATCAATGCCCAGGTACTGTGTGTCCCTAGTACATACTGTTATGTTTACCTTAAAGTTTGCAGAAGGAAAAAATGTATATTGTTTTTGGCAGTTTCTTCCTCTTCTGACTTCTTCTCCAAACAAATAATGTCAATGACCTGGACCAGACGTCTGTCACCATGGTAACTGGTGCTGTAGCATGCAGACACCCTGTGGTGTTGGGTTACATTATGTAGCAGGACCAATTTGGAAGGTCTGGTCACCATATACATGTAGTATATGAATGTGTTTGGGTGAGAATATAACTGTTACTGTAACAGAACAGTTAGTAGTTTGTCAGGCAAGACCATGAGAAGGTAAACATTATGCATTTGCTTTGCAAATGTTGCCTTTGTACAAACACTGCTATACCCAGTTGTCAGGAAATTCTGTTGCAGCAGATTACTACATTACTGTGTGTAAAAGGTGCTGCACACTACTGCTTCATTAGTGTTGTGAGTAAACTGCCTTGTTGATGATTGGCCATTATTTCAGACCCCCCATCGGAAAGGGTTCCTGCAAGGCTGCAAGGCCCTCGGGTGTACAAATCAGACTACTGCGGCATCAGTAAGTCCCTCTCATCTTGTGCTGTGACTCGTGTGTTCACCACCATCCATACCTGTCCTCAATAAAGCTTGACGTACAACTCTAGCTAGAAAGTTTAAGCCTTTGTTCCAACACGAAAAGAGAGACTCACCACGAATTTTCTTTCAAACACGTTTAACCTTCGTCAGATGTGTGATCCACTCGCTAACTCTCTGGAAGTCAGAAACGTGATGACGTCAGGAGTGAATCAAGAGTGAGCTTTCATTAAAAAATTTTTGCACATCTCTTTCTTTAGTTACTTAATATCAAGATTTACCACAATTGTGGAAGGAATTGACATGAAACTCTTCAAGATGTCAACCCGGAGACCAGACTGTAAGGTTTGAACCACTCACACCGGGAAGGACCCCAACTCTTTTCAAAACAACATCACTTCAACACGTACAGACAGTCCCTCCATGCTTTGCTGTGTCTGGATTGTTTCTTGGAAGTTCTTGAAAGTACTTGACTGGTATATAGTACACTAATACAGGCCATGCAACTGACATCCATGCACATGGATATGTGTACATGTGTTTAGAAGTATCCATGCAGCTTATACACAAGTATCTTGTGTTTAACCTTCATTGGTTTAACCATTGCTCACTAATGCTGCGATTGGCTTTAGTGGACCATGCCCTAATGCTCCAGCTTACAATTATACACAGTATAATGAAGAAGATTTAAATATCAGAGTTGGTCTAGCATGAAGATTTTTCTTAACATTTCTTTTGTTTGCCTGAGGCCAATTCCATATTAATTATATACGGTACTACATATTAATCATAATTATAACAAAATTGACTTTGTTTGTTGCTTTAACTTTATTATGTGTGGTTATTGTCTTTGGTTTACCTGGTATTGTCTTTTTCTAACTCTTTGATTTTTTTGTGTAACTCCTTTCACAATTGCCTTCATTGCTCAAACATGAAAATGTACAAATTGTAATTCTCTGTAGTTTTAGGTAATGAGATAGAGATCAGACCCCTAAAAGTGCTAGGGGGTCAGTTGTCAACTTTTCAATGCTCATTTCTTCATAATACTGTACACAGTACAAAATGACACTCAGTCAGCGTTGTTGCATGTGTATTAACAAGTAATAAATAAACAAACACCGAAAACCTGCTTACATGGCAGTATCAATGGTAGTTGCTGGTAAGTACAAAAAAAAATTGTTCTCCATCCCATTATACTTTTATTTGAACCATTATGATTGAATTATTCTCATGCATATTTGCAAGTCAGATGTCTTTTCATAGTATTACTTAGTACAGGAAAGGGTGTTACACATTCAATGAAGTCTTGTACATACAATTCATTAGTTTATGGTTCATGTACGTGTGAGGCACAGGCTAAAAACAATGATTTGAATTTGTGAGAAAGCTAATAGCACTGTGTCATTTGCACAATCATATAGTATTAATAAGAAGACAGTACACCATTTTAAAAGACATTGTGAAAGTGATGATTCATAACTACACTATACTAAGCATAGTCTGGTGCAGATTATTGCATTTTGGGTCATAACTTTGTCTATGCCTATGTATATTGTGTACAGTGTGCTCTTTGCATTTATTAGTGTCATGAGCATTAGTGATACATACCTTATAACATGAGTTGTACATGTACAATGTATTATAATAATTAAATATTGCATCTTTTAAGATACCCAAATTACGACTTAGAATCTAATGTAATTTGTTTCTTTTTAGGTGGGGGAATGATTAATTTTTTTTTTTTATTTCACCTGTTTCATGCTGTTTATTTCAGGAGAAGACTGGCAAGAAAGAAAATACTAAACGTTTCTTAGAAAGTGACAACTTGACCTGCATAGCACTCTGTGAAGGTGAGGTTAGGAATTCAAAGGAACTCATCAGTGTACAATGTCTTTTGAATAATAATAATAAAAATACTTATAATTCTTTGTCTTCGTTGTCTAATTATATAGTTACACACTGTCAAGGATTTTTAGTGGTTCAAATTTGCTGAATATGTAATGTACATAATTTTTACTCTAAATATTAACTTGACTTGTTGCTGTTTTGTTATTCATGCTTTTTAATTTTCAAAATTTTGATCAAGCTACATGTACATGTATATTCAAAGTAGTTTGCATTGTTCACATGCTTGTACCATGAATAAAGCCTGCATTTTGTCATTCTCTTTCTGCAGTGATCCATTCCAAGGAGCTCAGAAAACACAACAACATCTGGGTGGTGCCTAACCCTGACCACGTGTGCACAAGGTTCTTCTTTGTGTAAGTGTTTCAATTCTACAATTTTTCAGTCTTTCTTCCACATTTCTATTTTGAAATTCTAATTTTTACACTGTTTAGGTACTTCACTTTGAAGAACATTCTGACGTAACAATTTGACGTGTATGGACAAGGTTATTTTTTTGTGTAGAATTAGTCCTTCAAATCAGATTCTACAATTTTGCAGTCTTTCTTCCTTGTTTCTATCAGCTAATTTCTACACTATTACAAAATGTATGCATGTACTTCACTTTGAAGAATATTCTGACATATTAGTTTGACATGCATTCTTTACTTGTGTACCGAAATGGCATATGTTCAGAAACCATTGCTATTATTGCTTTAATTTATACGTCATACACTAGCTCGTAACAGTGAATGGAGCAAATGAAAATCTGCATACACCAAGAAGCTTCCATCATTGCATACACCTACACGTGTACAGTACATGTACATGACTCTTGTACATGTACATGACATTGTATACATAATAAACTCAGTACATTGACCAGTACAGGTTACATGTACATGACTGTACATGATTGTGTACATCATGTACATGTACATGTAGGTGCAGGTAGACATCATCAGTGCACAGCTCCAATTTTAGTGCCCAGTATGTGTAGCCCTGACTGTTGCCTTGTGTGCAGGTATGAAGATGGGCAGGTGGGGGATTCCATGGTGGACACCACACAGGAGAAGTACCAGAAGGAGATACTCAGGGCCATCGGCAACATGACCGCCACCGACTGACCTTCAGAACAGTCAAGGTCGTTCACGTAGCAGGGTAGAGCCATGCTGGTTTCAGGCAATCTTTTCCCAGGCAGTGACGTTTTATCGATTTTTGTTTAGTTTCATAAGTGTTGAATCTAAAATAATAACTGCTGTTGCAGAATATTATTAGACTTACATGTACATGGAGAGTTTGGGTCATCATACATGTAACGTTACATGTACATTGTAGGGGAAGGGCCTCTTTTCTTGGTTAAGCTTGACCCAGTACTATTTTATAGATGTCGTCACCTGAATACATTTTTATAAACACACACTCATTTTCTACACAACTCTAAAACCTGCACATGCAGATTTAAACAGTTGCATGATTCTAGGGAAGTCATGGACCGTTCTCAGATTGCAACAAGGTGTGGTTTGTATTTATGCTTTATTGCATATTTTGCATATTATGAAAGAGTTCACTTGAAAACACGAGTAGTAGTATCACCCAAGATAAGAACTGTAAACAGTTGTAGATGCTTTAATATGTTTTTCAGTCATAAGAAAGTGCATTGGCATTTTAGATGGCGTTGAATGGTTAACAGCAAATCCCACTCTGAAGTTAAACTAGACATTCCACCAAGAACATCATCGGATTCCCATCGCATCAACAAATTAAAAAAAAATATGACAGATAAAACCAGATCAGGGGTGAGTGTGAGTGAGTGCAGATCTTCAAACATTCTGATGATTACAACTATTCACAGTCCTTGCTCATTATAACAAGAAATCGTGTGGAATGCTTTCCTGACATTTGACATGAAGGGCAAGGATTGAACCTATTTTTAGTTTTATTACCACTTCATAAATGCCTGAATTTTCCAGAGATTTTTTCCAGTGAATTTCTTGTTCTTGAGAAACATCATAAAAGTGCAAGATTCAGCATCTAATAATAAATGCATCTGTTGGTCTCTCTAGTCCTTAGGAAACTGTTTTGTAACATCAGCATGAAAGTTCATCTGAGTTGGTAAATTACATTATGAAAAACTTAAACTGTTCTCCAACTCAAAATTTGACTCACCAGAAATTTTCGACTGAATCACTCAGTCTTCCTCAGCTATCTGACCCAAATGCTGTGGACACGTGATTTTTCCCACGTGTGACGTCAGCAAAGGGTCAAAGGTTGTCTGAAGTCGATATCGCCCCAGAGGCCATACACATCAGGGCACTTCAACCATCGCTCAACCGGGACGGGGGGCGATATCGACTTCAGACAACCTTCGACTTCAGATAGCTGAGGAAGACTGAGTGATTCAGTCGAAAATTTCTGGTGAGTCAAATTTTGAGTTGGAGAACAGTTTAAGTTTTTCATAATGTTTTGTAACATGTTAGATTCGCTCAACATTGCTGTGCAAGCCACAATTATATAGTGTTTTCTCTATATTTCCAAACTTTTGCCATAATGATTGTAGACTGTGACAATTGTGGCCTATTGAATTTGTACCTACATGTACTAGTAAAAATTATATTGATGAAGCTACACTCCACAGGACAAAATAATGATTGTTTAAAGTTGAGACTTGTTAGGTCTGCTCCAGACCTTAATTTCATCATAATTATTATGATTCAATGTTTTACTGTTTTAATTTACTAATTCCAGGGAAGAGCATTGAAAAAAGTATCCACTTGATATAATTCTAAAGAGTTTTTGTTAATATTTTATTTTTGTTTTATTTTTTAGTATTACTAATATAAACTGACATCAAGCATTACATAGTGTGCAATGAATGATGGTACACCAAGACTAATGCCAACACACTCACTACTGTGAATGTTATATTGTTCTTTATTGTCTGGATCAACAAGATTTATGAATATGGTAACATTTCGAATGTGATGTTCATTGTGGGATTGTCACAATTCTGTTGTTATCTATTTTGTACATAGTTACTTGTTCTGTAGTACATGTATGTAGTGATTGTCATTGTTTGTAGTTGTGCTGTTGCTTTAGTCTTAACTTAAATTTGTTGCCAACTTACATACTACTTATACTAAAAGTTTAATGTTCTATTATAACACAAGAGTTTTTATTATTGTACCAGATTGAGTACGAAAGGTACATAGTTTAGCAGGCTTACTTTTGAAGGATTGTGTACAAGCAAGGTACTGAGATGACATGCTATTTAAATGTAAGTTAGGCCACACTATATTAATCAGTTGGTTTTTAGATTCGCCTACTTCTATTTTTCTGATTTGCCCCCCTCCTAGTGGGGCAGATGACTGAAATAATCTTTCACTTTGTGATACAAGCACCAAACTTGGTACAAATACTCATGAGACATTACTCTTTTGAAAAAGTATGCGGGCCACTTGATTTGACTTTTTGGTACTGCAGCCGACCTTCCGAAGCAAAAAAAGCGCCCTTGAAGCAAATTGTGCACCGGCAAAAAAACGCCTCTGCAGGTTCAACGCAAGCAGCTAGAGACACCAAATTTACGTCACTTCTTCCTTACTTAACAGCTTTCTACCACCTAAAAATCATGACTGTAGCATGTTTAGAACAGGAGATACAAAGCCCGGAAGGTCAGCTGCAGTACCAAAAACGCCGCTAGGGGGCACCAAAAGTCAAATCAAGTGGCCCGCATACTTTTTCAAAAGAGTAATGTCTCATGAGTATTTGTACCAAGTTTGGTGCTTGTATCACAATTTGAAAGATTCCTCCAAAATTTGATGTTATCTGCTCCACTATCCCCTCTACATAAGGTTTCAAAAAAGGTTTCAGGTTATGAATCAACTGCAAAGTGCTCATATGTTGGCCAGAACAGTTGAAGAAAGTCCTTGCCTTCCTAACTTTGTTGCAGTTCTTTTCTATCTATCAATGCAGTGGTTTGATTGAAATTCATTGTTTAAATTATAAACCAGCCTGGTATGTTGACCTCACGGCTCCTATCATCAGCATTAATTTTGATCCTGTTTCTATATTTTTTTTTCCATCGCTTCTATCTTCTTCTGGAAAAAATCCAAGAACCAACCAATTAAATTGGCGTGGCCTTAGCACCCTTCAAAATGTATCCGAAATTTGCAAGGCATGATGGGAAGTGGGATGCATGTTGTCAGTATAAGTACAAGATGTGGCCCATGATGCTTTGAGATGGGATTGAGCCACTGTTGTAGGAGACTACTACTATAAATTATTTTGCGGTAGCAAAATTTCGCTGTCTGAGAAAAATGGACATCTTTGCAGAGCTATACATTCGCAGTGGCGGCAGGTCCATTATTTGTTCATGGTAATGATATACATGTAGTTGTGGTACAGAAGTGAAAACTGCAAATATAAAAGTACCACTAAATATAATAAGTGATTTACAGTACTTGTTCCATCAGCCATCTATTGGCTTGCTGAGAGACGTGTATACCACACTGTACATTTTTACAGCCATTTCATGTGAAGTTTTCAGTCTGCAGTTCACTTTCAAGTGATTTCAAGGATGTGGTGAAAAAACGTGTGTGCTTCTGTACAGGTGATAATGAGATCGTGTCATGAAACAATTATGGTATATTTGTGTAGCCTCCTGTGCAGGCTCCGGGGCGGGAGGGAATTTTGATACAGCGTTTTGAAGAGTTTTTAACGCGTTATTTTAATAGCCGGCCATCCTACAACCAGCCGCCAAGAGAGGGTTCCTTTCTGCCCACGTGGCTGGTTGTAGGATGGCCGGCTATTAAAATAACGCGTTAAAAAAC